AAATGTATCATTTGTCCTTCATTCACAGCTGTGAGTTTACGTTGGGCTTTTAGAAACTAAATTTTCTGGCGTGACCATGCTGTGGATAGGAGTGTATTTTTATTTTTAACACAAGGATAAGTTTGTTGTAGACCTTCGTTGGGACAACTTCGACTCCGATCGACATTAGTCTCCTCTATATAGCTTCGTATTTTGTCCAGCCCAACTATGTGCATCAATGCTTTCATATGTTAACAAATTCTACCTAAGGCCTCGTTTCCTAAGCCTCTTCCTCATCACTGTGCTTGCAAACTATTCATTTTTTACGGGATAGGATTCAGTTTTGTCTTGAATAGTAGACTAAAGATGGACAATTCGTGGACAGCCAATTTGTCTCCGTCAGATCGTTTCCGTCCATGACTTTAGAAATAAATCAGTTTTGTACGAAGAAGATAGCGTGTTCTGTGCCTAGCCTGGCGACAATTTTTTCGTTATTTACATCCAAAAGTTGAGCGAAAAGTTTCATTCAAGACACATGACCTTGTATTTGTACTGACGACGACATTTTCGTATTTGTTCGCAAACACCCTTATTCTCTGAGATAGTTTACAGCTAGTTTTTCCGTCGCGTATCTTTAATACGCCAGCGGTGATGGTCAGCACAAACTACCTCAGGCGGCTTGTCCTCCAGTTGGATGCCACTCAAGCGCTTCACTTCAAGTGCGTGAATTCAGTCACTGCTTCTCCGACAGTCTATCACTTTCTTGCAAGTAGTTAAACCGGCCATACTATGTAGAGTATTCGATGCTAGCAGGACCAAGAGTTTCCCACTAACTGCTGCCCAGCCGTTGTTTTTTTCCGGGCTCTTGACAGGTTGCAATTCCGCGGTGCTTGTCCCATCCCTGTACTTGCCATGGACTAAACACTCGAATATTCAAACTACCATCGACGAACGAACATTCCTAATCTTTAAAATACAATAGTCTAGATTGCCTTAATATGAAATTATAGTTGCTGACCTATTTTTTCTACTTTAGGGTCTTATGTTTGGCTATGCCACTGATGAAACCGAGGAATGCATGCCTATTACCCTTATGCTGGCACATGCTCTCAATCAAAGGCTTGCCTTGTGTCGACGTGATGGAACCCTGCCTTGGGCACGGCCGGATTCAAAGACGCAGGTGATTGCACATGTCCTTTTTACCAGCTTATATGTTTTCACTGTGCTTTAGTTTTTTCCTGGTGCTTATTTACAGTTCAAGCTAAAATTCTTTATTGAGAGCGAAAGCATTCTCTATACCCTCTAAACCTGTCATTAGTGTCTGAGTGCTAGATTGTGTAGTCTATTAGTCTCTGGGAGCCAAGAACCCACACTATCCCGCGTTGGTAGCGCTGGCCACGTAGCCACCAGCCACAATTGCCTAGGCTGTGCGCCGGCTTGCCTGTGCAACTGTCTGATGCGCAATGTTATTTTCTTAACCTCTGCGCATGCTTTCGACGTTTACGTCTTAATAAGGTTCCTAATTAACATAAAAACGAAGTAAAACTGGAAAATTAATCAGACTCCATTGTAAAAAACTCAGGGATTTGGACCCAGGACAGCAAGGGGTTGATTAGAAGTAACGCTTTAATTACCTGCGTTACGAGACCGACCGAAATTCGCGAGTTTACTCACGGTTCGGTTAAGTTACCCGTCCAGCCTACATATAGCGTCCACCAATCTGGATACCCAAACAGAATTTCCTAAGCGATCAAATTATAGTCCATCAGATGACTACTAGGCTCAGTTAATTCACTGGCGTTTTGACAGATTCGAATAATTCTTTTGCCGCAGTCGTGAAACAATCGATGGTCATAGTGGAATCCGAACCCATGACAAGCAATTGGGATGTTCCAGTGGTCGCATTTCCTTGCCATTTATGTCGTGGGTTTGAAACCTATAGAGATCACCGACTATTTCGCAATTGGGTCCAATGAAGTATATCTCTCAAATCGCCTATAAATTAAATGAGCCTTGTTTGTAGTAAAGCTATCCTAGTATCCGAATCTCACAGAGGCCACCGAGTTTTTCACATGTGGTTCAAGTGAATTATTCATATCTACTAAAACACACGAAGTTCGAATATATACCTAAAATATAAACCATGTGGCTGTCAGCCTTGCCGACACTAAGCGGGCCCTCTCGAAACCACTAGTCATTTCTGTGGGTATCGGGCATTTGGGGTCACGAAAGGCATTAACATTTATTTGAGTACTTGGCCTGGGACAAGTACGTACCGCGGACTGGGAAATGTACCAGGTCTAAGACTTCATCACTTTTCCCTCGGACATCTGGCAGAACCACGCATAGTAATTATATTACCTTGGACATATTGACAACAACGCAGACTGTCTGCGCTTGCTTATCGTTAACACGAATGCTAGAATGGACGTGTTTCACGCGGCCCCAGTTATACCCTCCTTGGAGTCGAAGGGAACTTCCTACCAGACGAATTTCTACCGACAACATTTTTGTAAATCATTGCCTCGCCTCAGTCCATTTTAACGTACAGTGGTGTTTCCAAAACATTGTGCGCTATCACTATATTACGACATCGCCATCTGTACAGAATACTGCATTCTATATGTGTAAAGCCCGCCTTTTATGCTCCCGTCAAGGTCACCTTGCTGACACAGAACTGGTGTACCTTAAAATTGGTTTCCCCCAGGACTTATTTATTCTCCAGACCGCACACTGGCAGTCTCGGAGTCAGTGTCTATCTTTTTTTGTTAGCAGCGTTCGGCCTGGCATCCTACCTAGTCGTTCCCATTTTCAACGGATAATATCCTAGAGGTTCTTCTCGTATCGTTCACGGACTCAGTGAATAGTCATGAACGGGCCATCTGTCATGTAGTTCGCTGATAATACTGACCTTTTGAGAAGCAATAATGGAGGCGTCAAGTAGATT